ATCAAAACAAACGCAAGAGTTAAGCGCTAGCAGGAGAAATGGCTTGTAGTCTTTTACCAGCAGCAAAAGAGAAATCCTACAACTTCTGCAATCTGACGTTAGTCTATTTTTGTCTATATATTGTGAAGAAGAAAGTTGTGTTCAGTATCGTCTTCAGAGGTTTTGCATTGTTTCCTATAGTGGTTGCTGGTGCAGCGCCCCCACAGGCGAGGAGGGGAAAAGTTTTTTCAAAGGGTTTGGATCGTTTGTCACAGTGCAGTGTAAAAGAGAACCACAGCAGTTAAAAATGCAATAAATGTTGCAATTTTGAGCCCCTGTCAAACCGAATCAGACTATCAGGTTTGAAAACACCCTAAATTTGAGATAGTTTAAATGTCTTCTGTGATCTAAATTTGCTTGTAAGTCAAAGAAACGTGGCAAATATATGCTGACATGTTAACTGTGTCTACGATGATCCTGTTAGGGTCAAGCGACGCCATCTGTGCTGTGGACGGTGCTGCAGGAGTGGCGCACCCGCGTCGTAAAAGGCAGCTGTAACCCTTCATATGGAGACCAGTTCAGCTGTATTCTGCAAGACAAGCAGGACATGATGAATCGCATCACTCTGAGGATGGAGGTACCGCTCCACCTGAAAATGACTTGCATTACATAATCTATAATTTTACCAGACAGAAGAGAGACTGACTGCAGTAGATTTAACCTAAACATGTGGATCAGAGAATGATTTTCATGGTTTGTGTGTGTCAGGTGAGGAACTTTGATAAATTCTCCAGACACTCGGTGCTGGGAGAGGTCAGGGTTCCTCTGGGGAAGCTCAACATCTCTTTTCCTCTGGAGCTTCAAGAAGATCTGCAGACTCCACAGAAGGTAAAGTTAAAGCTGAGCAAGTTGATCAAAAACTGTAACTCCTGTGCAAACTGAGATTTAAATTTGTGGAAACATGATCACTTCAGAGTAAAGCCAGTAAAAAAAGGCCATATTATTTTTAATAAAACTGCAATAATGCTTTTCAGCGTAGTAATGATTATTATACTGCAATAATCATTAGTTTGCTAATATCTTACTTTGGTAATCCACGAATAATCAATTAATCCTAAACAAATTGGCATATTCTGCAGACCACTTATGCCTAGTTTTGTACATTAAATAAGTATTTAATTCAGTTACTTTTTTGAATAAGAAAATAAACATTTTATTGCCTAAAATGCTATAACAGTTTTCGTTTAGTGAACGCTTGATCATTTGTAGCACAGGATGCATCTGGAGCTTGAAAAAAGCTAGAAAAAATTACTAATGTGTTTATTTTTTAATTAGTAACTGGAGACCAAATGGTACTTAATAAGGGAATATTTTTGCAGAATTTTATCATAAAACTGCCACTTGAGAAGTTCTGGGCAGAACATATTTACAGACAAAGAAGATTTTTCATCTTAAATGCGAAATGTTTCTATTTTTCAATATTTTTGGTTTAATTACTGCTTTGGGTGTGTTGTTGTCTGTATACTCCAGCTAATGATTAATAAATTAGTTGACGATTGTTTCAAAAATGGATTAATCACAATTAATCACAGTTAATTTGATCAATCATTTCAGCTCCAACATTTATATTGCAATATATTATTTAAACTATTGTTTAACTTATTTTATTTTTGTTGCACTTTTTGGACTTCTGGATCCTTGAATTTCCCTTATGAATAAAGTATTTATCTACTGTTCTGTCTCTCTGTGTGCAGGATTTGGTTGGAGAAGTGCTGCTGACGTTAAAGTATCTTCCAACCTCTCAGAGGTTGGAGGTCGGCCTGTTGAAGGTCAGAACAGCCGTCGCTGAGCCGTCCTCTGATGCAGGTGATTCACAAACCTAAATCCAAACATACATTTCACACATATCCACATTGACTCACTTTACTTTCCCTCAGTCATGTATGCCAGGATCAGCATTCAGTGCAACCAGAGGAAGTTGAGGTACCAGAAGACCTCTGCTGTCCCCCGCTGCCCAGTGACCGTCTTCAATGAGGTCCTCATGTTCTCCCTGCCAGACGTCCCACTGGAGCAGTGTAAAATCTTAGTCTCGGTATATGAGATGCAATCGACTGGGAGGTCCAACAAGTGTCTGCTGGGACAGCTGAATGTGGGGAAGGACAGGAGCTCAGAGGACGAGCACTGGACCTTGATGGTGCGCTCGGTTCGGCAGCCTGTAGCAAGGTGGCATGGCCTGCTGCTTTAAGCTGCAGGACAGAAACATCTGGACCCCTTTCCTGCTGTTTGAGTCGCTTCACCTCATCATGCAGGGACTGTGATGAAACGCCACTGGATGGAGTTACACTCAGACATGTAAACATGAGAACAATCATTTTTATTATTGCTGCCTTTTCATCACAAAGATTCACAAATCTTTATTGATATTCTGCTAATATTGAAAAAAAAAACTATTTTGCAACAACAGTGTTTCCATTAAATGAGAAATTAAATTAAAGTCACTTGGGAATAAGACTAGTCCCATGATAAGTTACTAAAAATCATTGCAGCATGGATGTAAACAGTTTCATGAGATAATATTCATAATTCAGTCAGTCAGAGATGTTGGATCTTATTCAGACATCGGAGTGACAAGCTCCGCCTTCCTGGCTGTGTATGCAGAGTTTTGGGGAAATAATAGTTTACAGAAGTGCGACAAATTCAACATGTTGAAATGACACAACTATCTTTGTACTGCGATGCTGTGAGAGCTCTGGTGGAGCCAGCTGTACGTTATCCAAAAAAAGCCACTGTCCTCCTCCTGCTTCCTGTCGTCTGCTTCTTTGTGGTTTTGTCAGTAGTAACATCCACCTGCTGATCATGTGTTTTGTTTGATGTGAAAGAAATGTTTCCATTGCAGTTTTGTGGAATGTTTCTATTTCAATTTGACGTCACCTCATCCTCACACAGCTTTTTGTAGAAAAACTTGAGTTTTTCAAATTGGCCCGTTTCCATCAAGCAAATTTATTTTTGTTCTTTCAATTTGTGCAATTTTATGGTTACTGGAACCACAGCTGTTTTACCTTGTCTCTATCTGAAAATCTACTTCTAATAAAACCTCTGAAGAATTTTATCTCTTTCCACATTTGACAAATTAGCATTAAATTTATTTTTTATTTTTCCTAAAATTAAATGTTTAAATTCTATTAATTAATACATTACATGCCTGCTACCTGGTACCTTTATAGCCACTAAAAGAATGTTTATTTAGAGGATCCTAACATTTGTATGCAATAAAACAATAAAAATGATCCTGATGACTCAGCGTTCAATTGTCCAAACCTTTGCGAGGATCTGACCTTATGAGTGATCTCTGCTGCCACCTGCTATTTTGTTTAAGATACTTCTGAAGTTGGACCTGTATGCTAACCTGCTAAATATTGACAAGTTCATTGTACTGTTGTATATCTTCCCTTCAGAACCATTTAGAATAAAAAATACCCAGTAATACAAGTATCAAGTAATATATTGTTAATGACATGATCATACAAATCTGTCCTGTCAAAGACCAATAAAAATGTTTCTATACAGACCACAACATTTAAAGTGGAAAATATTTTTAATATCCAAAGTAAAACACAACAACCACTGTTAAGAATTAAAAAGAGGAATAACTTGATTTAGCTCGTTAATTTATTCCTCTGTCCTAGGTTCTTGCGTCTGTGTAAGTGTCGAGCGAGAAAGACCAATCATACGACATCAGACTTCAGATATTCAGAGTTTTATCCAAAGAATTCAATGCAATACAGAATGTTACAGCAAGCATCTCACCTAGATTATCAAAAGTCCAAGACATGACAAAACAGAGACAAAGAACTGAGTAAAAAAGGAAAAACAAAAGACAAAAGATGCATCTTCCGGGAAACTCTCACTCAGCACAAAGAGATTCGAACTTCTGCTGTGAAACAAACCATTTATAAGAATGTGTATTCTCCTCATTTAAATATATGCATTAGGAGGTGTGTTTTTTCCTTTGTGTGGGCTGTCTTAAATGTTAATTTTATTACCTCCTGCTAAAGAGCCCAAAGGCAGATATATGGATTGTCAAACTGGGTCTCTGCCGTACCAGGCGTCTCCTGCAACTCTCCCTGAGCTAAATTTACGACCTCTGTCTGTTTTAGTTTTCTGCCTCAAATGATTCCACAAGAAAGTAGTTTGTATTTTTAACCAAGCTTGCACAAAATGTAATGCTAAATAATGACTATAAGTTGGGTCTAAAACTAACTAAATGCTTTTTAATGCTTAAAGAAATATACCAATATGTTTGATTATATGTTGTAACAGACTTCTATAGTTTTTAGTGTTTGCCTGAACTATTCAACCCTGAGTAAAGAATTTATTGCCCTGATAGCCAATACACTCCCTGTCTGAAATGTTCCTTAAGGAGTATAAGACTGCTTTCTGATTAGGAATTTATGTAAGTTCAGAGAGTCACCAGCTGTCCCAGTTTGGATCTGTATCTAAGTTTATCTGAACCTAAAAGTTAACTTATGTACTATTGTGCTACTTTAAAATTTTTATTTCAACAACCACAAATATGAAAATGGAAAAAAACACAATTTACAACCAGCACAATAAATTAATTGGGTTATGAAGTCTCTGTAAACAAAATTGTCCTTCAAAACATATTAGTCACCAGAATGGAGTTTATCATTTCAATTGATCGATTTATGATTGATTCTTTTCTTATTGCATCAGGCTGTATTTCTGTCCCACTGCATAGTAAATAAGTTGGAAAAGGTCTTGCCATACATCTCAGTGTTAGAGGAGGTGACTGGTTTGATTCCTCTTAACTAATAAATAAAAGGCCCACAAAAAAACCTTTAAAAACAATTTGGGGAAGTTCCTCCATAGAATCCAAAGTTTTAATATTGAACAATGAAATTATTGTCCAAAGCTTCACTGTGGACAAAAAGAAGCTCACCCACCGCAGAGAAAGTCAGAGCTGCGTCACAGAACCATCAGCACCATCAGAACCATCAGAACCCTGGCCCAGACCGGGTTCACGTCCAGAACCACCCAGCTGGATCAGAAGAGCTGGAGCATGAAGAGTATATCCCAGTCCAGAGCCGATCTGCCCCTCATGTCTCCTGAAAACTCAGATATTTGCCTAAGTTCTGCCCCGTTCAGAAACGAAACCAAAAACGATGCCATCCTCAGGATTTGCGTGGTTTCGTTTTCAAAAAACCGAGAGCCTGACTGCAGGGAAGAGCGGTCTGCGCCTCGATCCGGTGGTAAGTCGTTTTCTCCTGATTCCCAGTTTTCCTCCCAGCAGGTGAAATGTGGAGAAGCAGCTTCAGTCTCAGGCGGTTTGAGCCGCAGCAGTTTCCATGCGCTGCGTGGAGATGACGCAGAACTCTGCGGATCTTTACCTCAGTCGACCTCTGAGCGAGTTATTTGGGGACACGGACAGAATCTGTCTGTTGAATCTGCACGAGTTCCTGAACAGATCCGACCGGCTCCGTTACATCTCCCTGGATTATATGTCTCAGAGACAAACACGAGTATTTCTAATTGATATTAGAGCGTTTTATGCAGCTTCACGCATTAACACGCATGACGCAGCGCGCAAACCCGCCGCGCCCGATAAATATAATCAAACTGAACTTATTTAGCACAAACTGTTAACGACCACAATATTCACCGAGTTTGACTATAAACCAGCAATAAAAACAGACCCGAAACTTCCTGACTGCAGATTAATTTGACTATTTCAAACAAAGACAGTCACGTGGTCTGCTTCCGGATCCTTAATAAGGTCAGATCATTTAACTGAAAACTTTTTTGACAAACAAGCGGGTTATATTACAGTGTCGTTGTTAGTTGTTTTAACTAAAATGGGTATTATTATTATGACAGTAATATGATCAGAAGTGCACTAATAACATTTTTTGTGGTTAATTTCTGACCTGCTGATTTAAACAGTTTGCAAGAAAAATCCCTAAGAAAATGTTTAAAATCAGATCCTTTAGCAAAACATTTATTTTCATAAAGTTGCTTATTCTATCAATTATTTCTCAAACACTTTAATTCATGACACTATAAATCTACATGTCGTTTATTGCGTCCATAACAGTGAGATTTCTGCAGACATTTTCTGATCCAAGATAATCTGTAACTGAACTGGATTATTCTAAAGAAAATAAAACTGAAAAACTTTACCTTTGTAACGTTTTCTGTACTGTCACCCAATCTCTCTTTTGAGGACAGTTTCCCTTCTTGAATAGTTTTACATCTTTTTCTTCCTCTGACCTCATTTTTGGTAAATTTGAGACACTAAAATCTGTTTTTTTTAGTCTCCTCAGTATCAACTTCCTCACTAAAGAGTGTTGCTGTTTGGGAACATTTGTTGCAATTACAGTTTGTAAGGTGCAATGGCTGGTTGGAAAACATGGATTTGTGTCTTTTCTTCTTCTTATGATTATTCCATGTGTGACTTTGTGCTTCAGCTGATGGAGTCTGATCATGGATGAGGAGCTCGACCCTGATGATGAAAATCCAAACTCCGTCTTGGATCAGGAATACTCGGAGCTGGTCGCCATCCTGCGCTGTCAGTCGGACTCGGTCATAATGCAGCTTATCCAAACGGTGCCGGGCAGTGCCGTCTGGCTGAACAGACAAACAAGCGGCGGTTCTGCTGCACCACCAGACCACATCGAAGCCATGCTGCAGCACTTCAGACGCGCCAACTCTGCAGAATGCAGCAACTTCCTCCAGAGGGTTTGCCTGCTGTGCGACGGCATCCCCATGCATCTGGAGTCGAAGCTCATGTCAGTGGCTGGACATGAGCCACTGACATGCAGTGAGTATAGTTACATTTACTTGAGTAACTTTTTATATTTTTAGGAGTACTTTTACTATGCTGCACTTCATACTTTTCCCTACTTTCATTATGAAGTGTCTCTACTCTGACTTGAATAAAATTTCTGGATTTTCTACCCACTGAATGAAAAACATAATTTTAACCAAAAATTCACCAAACACAAACACACACCTGCAGTTTTTATAAAGTTTTTTTTGATTTGGAAAAAAATATTTTGTCTGATTTTGTTGGGTTTTTATTTTATATGAATTATTGTAGTTTCGATTCTTAAAATCCCAAAATTTTCACGTAACTTCATAGTTTGGTCTGTCTGATGATGTAATATTTAAGTATTAAATTATAAATAATTTGATGAGTTACTGACTACTTGAAGAGACGTTTTGCTTCTACTTGAGTGATTTCTTGGACGGCTACTTTTTACTTTCACTTGAGTAAAAATATTTTGAAGTAGTGCTACTCTGACTTGAACACTTGTTTTTTCTACCACCTCTGTGAGTATAAAATAGTAACTTTTAGATGACAATTTGCATAATCAGTGGTTAGTTTAAATGTTGCTGTCTGAATGAAAGATCTGAACTCAGCCTTTCAGTCTGCAAAAAAATAAAAACATGAAAGGAAACCACAGTGAAAGATATGTTGCAAAGCTTCATGCTTCTTTGACACGGAAGTGTTTTTGTTTCTGGCTAAACCGATTAAGGAGTGGCAAGAGAGCCTGGCTCAGTGAAATTCCCCTTTGCTGCCAATCTTTTATAAAGCTGATCTTTGACTTGTCTGTCACTTTTGAAATGACAGATTATCAGCTTCAGTTTGCTTCTCATTAAAGAGCTTCTTGCTATATCTTCCTGAAAATGTACTTTTAAATTAGTTTTATCTTATTACAAGTGTAATAAGATACTTACACTGGAAACTAGACAAAAATACTTGGTCAATTTTTGTGTTTTTGTGGTGTGGTGGGTGGTGGGCCTCTGATATTATTGATCTCTGATATCATTGATCTCTGATATTACTGGTTGAAGTCTGTAAACTCACCAGATGGCGAGTGGTTTTGCTTCATGTTCGCGTTGGATGTGGAGATGATTGTTGTGTGAGCATATTGTGGCTCTGTGGAGCGGTGGATCTGAGACCAGTCATGATACCCTCAGTATCATTAACATAATAGTACAGTATGACTGTACCACCTATTAATACTAGGTGGTCTTGAAACAACACCTAGTGCCATTGTTCAAGAAGTATTCTATTCTCAGTTCAGAATAGAAACACTAGAAAGAGCCTTTATTGTCCTTCAGCAGGGGAAGTTCAGGTTGCCAGCAGAAACACGATGGACAAGTTGAAGCATGCAGATTTGCACTAGGTTGAAGATCTAAAAACAGAAAGTAAGATTATGAGGCTCTACAGAAAGATTTACAGCACATCAAACAAATTATGTACAGAGATTAAAACTTGCTTACTTACATTCAAAGAGACGGGCAAATGAGTAGGATGATTTAAACAATGTACAAATGTGTAGATATATAAAAAAATGAGAGAAACTGTACAAATAATATCAGGGATGTAAACATTTGATGAACTTGGGTTTGTTGGGAGCAGTGATGGTCATAAAATATATCAGTTGATGGGAGGAAGGATCTGCAATAACATTTTCTCATGCATCAAGAATGAAGCAGTTTTGAACTGAGACAATGCAGCTTCATGGATGAGGGGGAGACATTGTCCAACAGTGATGTTATTTTAGCTAAAGTCACTGTATCCTCAACAGTGACGTATCCTCAACCCGGTGAGGGGTTGAAGTGTCATCAGATACCATGACAGCAACCAATTTTATGTTTGGTAACATAAAATTATGTTGTTTTATGTTGGGCCATTTAATGCACGGTGTTCATGTTGTGAGGATTTAAGTTTTTCTGTGTTTCTTTCAGTTTCTGTGTTCTGAGGCGTCTCTGTTGTCCCGTCTGCCCACTGATTAGTTACACCTGTTCCTTGTTTCCCCTGATTGTCTCTCTGCGTATTTAAACTCACCTGTGTTCCTTGTTCTGTGTTGGGGGTCCTTGTCAAGCCATCTCGTCTCGTCTGCTATCAGTTATTTATTTATACCAATTGCTGCCAACTGGTATGCTGCCTGGATTATTGTGCCTTTAATTTTGATCATTAAATCATCATCATTTCTCTCACCAAATCTGGATTCACTGTGTCTACAGCACCATCTACTACTCAATTTCATGACAGTTGTATTAAGTCTTATGTTGGTCTCAGCATCAGACAATCCAGTTGGTTTGTGTGGAACATTAAATCCTGTCAGATGTTTGAAGTAACTTTTAAAACATTCCCATTCTGAATAGTGCATCTGCAATGGAATCAAGACTGTGAATTTTAACACTGTATTTCTTTAAAACAAGCTGCTTCCCATCTCATTTTGCGAAGTAAACGTATCGTCATAAAAATTCATCAGTTTGTAATGCCAACATTTATTTCCTCCGATTCCCTTTGCAGAAGATCTGATTTCTGCACATGGACTAATTCACATCCAAATTTGACTTTTTGGGTGCTAAATTAGAGCTGAATTGTTTTTGTAAAGGCAAATATGAACAGTTTTACCAAAGATTAATTCAAATTTAATGATTTAGTTGTTGATTAATTCTTCTCTTTCTGCTTGTTCAGGCGATGATTTGAATGATCTATCAACTGGAACATCATGTTTGGAAAATGAAGGTAATTGATAATGCCAAATGGTGATCATAGTTAAGTTTTCAGTTAAAAACAAGTTTAACTGGAATCGGTGCAGCAAACATCAAAAATGTCCAAATGTCAAAGCAACAGAAATTAAACTAAACCTGATCTGTATTTTTGGTCATATATAAAATACAGATCAATAATACTTTGTATTATTTATTTAAATTTCTACATTGTATACTTTATAATCTTTCTGCAAACGTAGCTCTTTTTAATACTCAGCTATTCTGAGAGGATATTTTGAAAGGAAACAGAACTTATCTAGTTCTGTTGAATGGATTAAGTTTCATATTACTGAACTCACACCGATTAAAACGTATGACAATTGAAAATGAAAGCAGTGTTTGTTTTTGGACGGAGCTGCACACATTCAGGATGTTTGAAGGCTTTTGTTTAATGTCAGAAATGTCCTCTCATTTAAAACCTTAAACTAATAACTAAGGGATGTAGGTCCATGTTCTGCAGGCGCTTGCAGACCCGTTGTTATTGTTATAGCACCTCTGACTGTCTGTGTTGATTTTGCTTCATGCATCTTCTGTATTCTTCTTCATGAAGACGCAGCATCCAGGGTGACGGATCAGCAGCCGCTAACACCGCCTGCAGAGGAGCAGCTCACCAAACGCCCACGGATTGGTATAACACACACACACACACACACACACACACACACACACACACACACACACACACACACACACACACACACACACACACACACACACACACACACACACACACACACACACTAGATCTTAAAACATATGCTGCTGTCACATTCAGAAACTAACTTTATCACTAAGGTTTCACGCAGTAGTTGGACGCCTTTCTCTTGGATGATGCTGCTTTAAATCCTGTTTGATTCTCATATTTTTGTTCAACCAGACCGATTAGACAAGGACCCGAGGAGGAACATGAGGGATTAAATACACAGAGGGTAATCAGGGAACAACACACTGCTGGGAACAATCAAGGGGTCAACAGGGCAACACGAGACTCAATGAACACACAGAAAAACTCAAATCCTCACTAAAAATATCAGATTTCAAGCAGAGACGTTTGAGAATCCAGCCTGTCTCAAGGCCAATGACCTGAAACTGCAGTCATATGTTTGCATCCTGCAGTTTATTAAATGATCAGCTTTCTTTGTAAATTAAATGTACCTGCAGATTATTGGGAGCAGTACAAGGCTGAAGCGGCAGGTTCCCTGCAGAGGAGGTGGAAGCGGCTGTCAGAGGGCCTGCTGACGGATGTGCAGCCGGACAAGATCTGGGTCAGCATCAGAACTGCAAACAGAGTCAGGGACAGACCGGATCAGACTCCCAGCTCTGCAGAGAGAGGCGGCAGAACACCGGGTCAGGACTGACTTCCTGCTTCCTTTCTTAATCAATGAGAGGAAATAATTTGAGGGATTATTAAAAATAATCCCTCAATAATTTTTCACCAACTTCAGAGCCTGACGGTGACGACGGGTGGCCAGAATCCAGACTGACTCTGGAGAGTTTTCTTCAGGGATGCACAGGAAAAGTGACGGTTCTGGCCGGCCCACCTGGCTCAGGAAAAACTCTGCTAATGTCTTTTATTGGGCAACAGTGGACTGAAGGATTAGTAAGTTCAATTTTCTCATTTTACTTACTATAAATGACTAATGTGCATTTAAAATGAAGTTCTTCTTGAGATGCTGGAATATTAGTGCAAAAGAAGAGGATTAGAGCCAAAAAACCTGAATTTAGACTTTTTTCTTCTTCAGAATTTTAACTTTAATCTTCTGAGTTATGAGAAATATCAGAAATTTGAGATTAAGGTAAAAATAATCCAAGTTTAATGTCAAAATTCTGAGTTCAAAAATTGAATTCTGACATTTTTTAAATCTCAGATTAAACTCAGAATCATTTTCTTTCAGTGACTAATCTTAATAATGATAATTAAGACATCAGTAATGTTAAATAAAAATGATTTGCAGGAATAAAAAGCAGGATTTTTCCTTTCCATTTGTGTATTTTCTGTGAAACCAGTCCAACCATAAATCTGATCAAATGTCCTGCAGGGAGAATGAAAAAGTTGCCCAACTTGCCCCTGGGGAAAGTACCGGATAAAAACTGCGAACACATTCATTTGAATATAACTGCCTGTCTGCAGATTGTTTGTGTGTAAACTGTAAACTTTTGCTGAAATGAAAGTAAAACTAAATTCGGCTTGCTGTTGTTATTTTCATTGTGTTTTTCATTCTAAAGGTTTTGATGATGCTTCAAGTTTGTGAAGATAAAACAGAATCCAAGCAAAAAAACAACTGAAGTTTTCTAAGTTTAAATTGAATTCACTCAGTAAGCATCGCTTTGCGGGGTTCCAGTGTTTGTTTCCTGATCCGTTTTGTGAAGTTTTCACATTTTTAGTTTTTCGTGTCATCCAGGGCCCCATCCCTTCATCCCATCTGTTTGTCTTGCTGGAGTTTCGTCAGCTCGACCTCCTGTCAGCCCCTCTCTCCCTCTCTGAGCTGCTGTTTCACCACTACCTCCCAACTAATGGAGACAATGAAGCAAAGGTGCCACAGCAACTCAAATACCGTTTAAACGTAGCAAACAGCAGATTAAATGTTTTAAAAACGGCCGTCTTTTCTTTGTTGGAGCAGCAGGCCGTTGTGGACTACCTCCTTTCCAATCCAGAGCAGAGCTGCTGGGTGCTGGACGGTTACGACGAGTTCCAGAAAAAACTAAAGAGACACAAAGTTCAGAACGAGCGGCTGGACTCAGAGAAACCTGTGCCTGTGGCAGAGCTCATCTCAGGGCTGCTGAGCCGGCGGCTCTTTGCAGGCAGCACCGTGTTGGTCACGAGTCGAGTTCGCGACGTCGTCGATTTGGACGGTTTGTCTGACAAAGTGGGGCAGCTGCTGCCGTGGGACCAGCGTGAAATCAAAGAATGTGTCAACAACTTCTTTAGTGCAAAAGGTTGACATTCATTTATTTCATTCTGTTGGAGTTGAAAACCTGATGAGGGATGTAATTCTGCACTGCAAAAACACAAACTCTTACCAACCATGTTTCCTCTATGTTCTAGTGCAAATATCTAGGTGCCCTAATTATATAACAAAACTAACTTACAGGGAGCTTTTCAGTAAGTTATAGCAGTTTGTTTTAAGTCAATAATTTGTTAACATTGATGAAAATGTTCTATATCCATTGGCTGATTATTTCACTTATAAAATGAAAAATGTCTTGTTATAAGTTTAATAATCTGCCAATGGAAATAGTACTAATTACAATAAACAGGAAGGAATTATTGGCTTAAAACAAACTGCTATTTATGGCTAAAAGTTAGTTTGTCTTCCTTCAAGCGTACTAAGATTTTTATACTAGAAACTAGATATCCTTGACATTTTGAGAAATGAACTCAGAAAATAAGAGTTAGCTATTAGTACTGTCTAAATGTCCTATTTTCTTTATTCTTGTGAGAGAATTAATTATTTGATCAACAGCAAAGTTTTAAAATAAATGTATACATGTTTTAAAAACATTTAAATGTAAAGATAAAAAGTCTGAAGAAAATAATTGGACAAAATGCAATGGATAAAAGTTGACAGTAGTTTTGCATATTACTGAGTGAATTAAGTGTTCTCTGTTGCACAAATTAGTTATTGATTGTTTATCATTTACAGAAACTTGACCTCATTCCAAAGCAAATCAATTTGCTCAAATCTTTTTCCAGAGATACAATTTTTTTTCCAAATATATCCTTGAATCTGAAATGCCTCATCAGTTCTTAAGTACCAGCACATTAATATCTGTTTTATTCAGTCAACATTATTGCTGCTTAACTTATTATCCTCTCGTTTCTAATGTTCAGATGGAAATCTTGCAGCCGATGCTACAGAAATCCTCTTCTCCAGCCGACACCTGCTGGCCATGTCTTCCCTCCCGGCCCTCTGCAACATCTGCTGCGTCTTTTTGCAGCATTTACTGCACCGACATGCAGAAAAGATAAAGATGCTGGGAGAAAAAGGAGTTGAAGTAAAGAAAAAACGTCTAGAAACTGAGAAAAAAGACGCACAAACTGCTGATGGAATGTGTGACAATGACAGACGCTCCCAAAAAGCACAACATGGGGAAAACAGTGAGGAGACATTAATGGACGGAGCAAAAAGCAGAACCACGTTTTCTTTCACATCAGCACAAATCCCTGCAACCCAGACTCAGATCTACCTCGCAGCTGTTGCTACATTTCTTAGCCGGCACCCTGAACGGCCCAGAGGAACGGAGGCAGCAGAGACCTCAGGATGTTCTGAAAGGTGAGGATTAGAAAACACAGCAACACAAAAACTAAAACAAAACACTAGGTTTTTAGTTAAAAACTCTATAAAACTACACTTGGTCTGTATTATATTGTCAGCAAGTTTGTATTTGTTTCTTTGTGCAGAACCAAGTTTGCATGGAAAACTGTGAATCTTCCTGCTGCTGAGCTTTGTGAGCTCAGTCGGCTGGCATGGAGAGGTTTGGAGGAGAGCAGGATTCTGTTTTTGGAGGAAGATGTTCCTCTACAAAATTTAGCGTCTTCAATCAAGTCAGGACTCTTCTCACCGGTCAGACATGGTTTCACTTCTCTGTAGCTTTTCCAAATGGAACCACTTTACAACCAGACTAATAAATAGTTTATAGATATGTTATCAATTACGCTATAAACACTGTACAAGTGACTGATAACTGTTTATTATACTTTAACTAAAGGGGAGACAGAGAGTGCTTGCTAAAAAATTACATTTACAAATGTTTATTATGGTTACAAAGTAATCTGAAATTAAACTCTAGATAAAATATAGAGGTGAACAGACTCACTATTTGGCAAGAAACCAGTAGATTTAATATCCTTCTCACCTTTAATGAATGCATAATAAGCAGTTATTAATGATTTACAAAGTGCTTAGAGATTAATTAATAACACATATGTGAACTATTTATTAGCCATAAATAAGGGGAACCTTATTGTGAAAACTTTTCCATTTCCATTGACCATAAAATTGCACAATTTGACATTTTGAAAGTAAATTTGCTTAATGGAAAGAAAAAAAAAAAAACCCCAACAAAACAAAACAAAAAAAATCTGGTTTTTATATATATTTTACTTGACTTATTTAAAAGTTTTATATGGTTTTATTGGCTGTATTAAAATTGGTTTATTTAACAAAAGATCAATGGAAACACTTTTTGCATCACATGAGTCACATGTTTCCACTGGTGAAAACCACAAAGAAGAAGAAGAAGACAGGAAGTGTTAGGATGTCGTGGTTTTTAATGACTTATTCACTCATTCACGTGCTTAATTTCATTTCTTATTTAACACAGCAATTGCAAAATTGTGTTTTTTATTTAATTGAGTTAATTTCTCTTTCTAAATCCATATTATTTTTCATGACTCTTTTTGTTAGCTTCATTGTTCTTTCACCATGTGAACAGTGTTGCCAGTCAGTTGGTGGTTATAACTAGAGGCAAATGTTAACATTTACAGTTACTGGAGTTGGTGGTAAAAACCTTTTAATTAAAAAGACAACTTCCTGCTCAAACTCTTGCAGACATTGTGTTTAGCATGTCAAAAATCATTTTTAATGCATTTTAACTCCAGTGTCAAAGTTTCAGACCATAAACCTACATATTTGTGACGCTCCCTGTCAGGTGGAGGTCAGAGGTCGTGACGGCGCTGTCGTCAACGCTTACTGCTTCCTGCATCTCACAGTGCAGGAGTTTTTGGCTGCACTCAGGATCATGACAAGCTCTGCTGTCAGTGATGCAGACCTGAAGAAGAGGTACGAAAAATCGATCTTACATCCCTACGTTCCTGTGGAACGGTGCCGCCACGCGTTGGAGCCAAACATCAAACATAAACATAAAGAGCATGAAGACGTTTAAAAAGTTTGCTTTTTAAACGTCTGGTGCAAATTTGGTATCGTGCACAAATCTGATCTACAGACCAGGTGGAACTAAGATAGGAAATGCAAATCCATTCAGCATGTTTGCCTTCATGAATATGCAAAATATATGTTGATCATCAGAAAGTTCAACATAATTGGAGGAAGATATGCAGATGTAATAACTTATCACCTGAAATGAGATTTATTAAGCCAGAATTAGGGAGCAGGTGCTGTTTCTGTGGTTTTAATTTGCTCATTTGAATAGCAGGTGCAGACTGGCATGCTGAATGTCTGCAGTGACTGTGGTGAAAAGCTCGTTAGAATAAATTAAATGAAAATAATAAAAAATAGATGAATAATGTTTTCCACTAATGTCAATTTTTGAGCTGCAGGATTGCCTATAATTTTTGTTCATTATGTCTTTATGCCATTGTGACCTGGATAGCCAAAGAAACATATTCACTATATTCCCTGTTTGCTCTCAGATTCAGTCTGAAAACTCGCTGGACGACTAAATCAGACCAGAAGACAGTGTTCACTGATTCCCTCTACCTGTACGTTTGTGGTCTGGCTTCGTCAGACTGCACTCCAGCTCTGGAGGTCGTTGCCAAGGCAGCGGGGTTAAAAGGAGCCCTAAACTGGGTCCAGAAACGCCAGGCCCTTGTCCTAAAGCTGCTGAAAGCTCTGTGCTGCAGTGCCACTCTGACTGGACCGAAGGTGGTTTTTAAAAAAAACCAAAACCTGATTCATGAAGTTGAGATTTCTGTTCCTTGTTCTGACTTTCTGCTCTTGTGCTGCGACAGATTTTGCAGCTTTGCCATTGTGTTCAGGAGAGCCAGAACCAGCAGCTGGCTCAACTGGTGGTGAGTGTGCGACCCACGCTGGAGCTCAGAAACTTCTGGCTGCTACCCAGTGACATCGAGGCGCTGGCGTTTGTGGTCAACTCAGTCGGTACCAAAGGTGTTGGTTTGGACTTCGGCGCCTGTTCGATGGAGCTGGAGTGTCTGGACACCCTGTCCAGGTGTCAGTATATTCATTACCTCAGGTACAAACACAGTAAAACACATTCACACTAAACTAACTCATGCTCATAATTCTGCAGCAGAATTACGATGCATGTCTCACATTATGGATATAAAAGCCGAATAAAATGCAACATATCCGTTCAGACACTTTGACAACAATCAGATACGTTTCTGAATTAGTTCCACATATGGAAATGTCCTGCAGAGGGAAAGCATCTAATCTATAGTTCAAATTTATAGATTAGAGTTATGAGGATCCAACAGAAACAGCTTTCTACAGAACTGGCTTCAACACGTTTGTCGCACAAGGTTTGAGAAAATTAAATAATCAAATTCAAACGACCTGAGATAGTGAATGAGACAAGTTCAAGCAGATGTTGAAGGGAAATAAATCATAGATACATGAGAACCATGCAGCCATGCTTCCTTCAGGCAGGTTTAGCCTTCAACGCTGACTTCTTATGAAAATGTTATGAAAGCCTCTTACACAGAGGTGTCCAAAGTGTGGTCCAGGGGCCGTTTGCAGCCCTTGAAATGATTTTGTTTGGCCCTAACCACAAGTACAGAAGGATAAAAATTTGGCCAGAAAAATGGAAAACAATTGATGACCCTAAAAATTGGAAATTTAGATTTTCTTTTAACAAGTCAAACCCTCTTAATAATATAATGATTTAAGAAAAAACAGGTAAAACTGTACAAAAAATTTAAAAAATCACAATAAACAAATTATTTAATTTAATGAATTTAATAAATTTTAAAGGCATAAAGTTTGGACGCTACTGCTTTAACACAATACAACTTCATACATTACAGTGTTTGTTATCTATTTTTATGTAACACTTTCAAACTTCCCTTTTATTTCATTGCAGTTTTCGGAGCCGCAAATATGGCGATAAGTTTGCAGAGAAGCTTTCCTCCGTTCTCCCTCGATTCACAGCGCTGAGAAAGCTAGAGTAGGTTTTTGCTCCATAATTTACTCAGAATATTCCAAATAGTTTTTCCTTTTTAAATCTGATTTGTTGCTTCACCAGGTTTTGTGGTGCCAGTCTGAGTTCTGCAGGAGCTGCGAGTTTGGCATCTGGTCTGCAGAACTGCTCCAGCGTCACTGAGCTCAAGTAAATTTACTGGATAAAATATCTCGTATTACTGCTACACATAGATGACAGATGATAAGAAGAATGTTTCTTTCATTTTGGTTTCAGTTTTAGTGACAACAATTTGCAAGACGAAGGAATCCGACGCATTGTGGACGTTCTTGCCAAACTACAAAACTTGACATCTGTAAAGTAAGTCAACTGCACAGAAACCTTCATGTTTTCTAACATAACAGTGCAGACTCTATGTGTTTTTTTATATTCGTGTGTGTGTGTGTGTGTGTGTGTGTGTGTGTGTGTGTGTGTGTGTGTGTGTGTGCAGGCTGGGACGAAACAACACTTCTTTGGAAGCAGCAGAGTGTCTTGTGAAACATGTGTCTTCTTGCTCAAACATCCAGCAGCTTCATGCTGAGTAAGAAAAAACACAAAACACACACGTTTGTATTGATACCCAAAGGATTCTGCAGATGGCAATAGGACCACAGGGACAAGGCAGAGGATCTTGTCTCTTGTTATGCTGTTTTTTTTATGTAATATATATGTAAAAAACATATTTATTAAAGTCACATACTGCAGCGTTAAGCCTCAAAGAAAGCAATTAATCATCTCAACAGATTTTTTTTGTCTCTGTTCTTGTAGTGGGATCAAAGAGTTGACACTGACATTTTCTCAAAAATCTGAATCAAACAGGTGAGTTTCATAATCAGCAAAGTTAATAATGACATTAACTTTAAGAAATTCTAACCTTTTATAAAATGTTTTTTTGTTTGCAGCTGTAAAATTAAGCCAGAAGCAACAGTGAGGTATGACGCTTGTATTTATTATATTTACCACTTTATAAGCTTTTTTTGCTTTTCCAGTTTCCTGATGAGACTTTGTTCCTAAAATTGTTTTATTTTTAAATTCAAATTTCAATAACAAATCACAAATCACACTTAAAATCGTATTTTATTTATTACCATTCTAACAACACAACAGACGGGAACAAACCAGTTTGTTCATCCATCCACTTCACTTTTCTCTTAATGATACATTATGCATGGATTTGGTTGAAAACCTCTCAAAATGTTGTTGTATTTTAGTCATTAATGAAATTATGTCAAATAATCAGATTTTTTTTAACCCAGTGCTTTTTGTTAAAATGCTTTTATGCTGTTTGTCATTAGAATATAAAACTTTATGTTGCTTTACAAGCAGATTATTACCTGAAACTTAAATAAATATTTAGTTTTTCTTTCCGTTACTTTTTACCTGTTGTGTTTGATGCAGAAGGTCATATTTTGGATACGTAGTGAGGAAAAATGTTCATATAAAAAGTACTAATTACATACCGGGTGCAGTTAGACAGCATGTTTGTGCAGGTCGATGTTTGGCACTATTTGCTTTGTGAATCTGGAGCAGAGAGTCTGACTTTGGTTCAACCCTAAACATTTATTTGCATTAAACTCAGATTTTTCTTGATCAGGTTGTTGAACCAGAAGTGGACTCAGTCCGGCATGCAGAACCTGGCCAGGTCTCTGACTCGCTGTCCCTCCCTGTCTGAGCTGGAGTGAGTAACTTCAGACACGCTGCTGATTTTTTTATTAGGAAAATGTGACCTGAGGAGGTTTGATTCAAAGTCTGAATCTGATTTAAATGATGCAAAACTCTCTCAGGTGACAGTTTTAACTCAATTATTCAAAGAAGATTGGGCCAGTTGGCACAATTTCTGATGCTGGTTGTTTTTAGCCGGGTTGGTTTTGCTGACTGTTTTTCATTGATAAATTAAATGCATCTTTATCAGATATTTGCATTTGTCACACTGTGTTAGTGGTGCACAGATTTATTGACGCTGATTTTCTGAATTTTTGTTGATCGGTCGTTGGTCGATTCTTGCATATGAAGCCGATCTCGTCTACCTCAAGAAGGGCAAAAAAATCAAGCAGTGTCTCTCCTGCTCTGCAGTTAGAGAGGTTTGACTGATTGACTCGCCCATCAGGTCACGTCTGCAGTTAACAATGCGGCTCATGCATGTTGTGTTTGACTTTCTGTCTGTCTGTGTTCTTCAGTCTGTCTGGAGGCGAGTGGGATGAGGAGACTTTAAAAACGCTAATTCAGTTTGTGCCAAGCTTCAGCATCACTGAGAGGATCATGTAAGTCAAACTCCATTCAGTAAGAACAACATAGATGTTAATTATGGAAATAAATAGCAGCATTTTGTTGTTGTTTTTTATTTCATGTCAGATTGAATGACAGCTGCTCATCGGTTCAGAGTGTGAAGATTCTCACCGCTTTGCTTTCTGACTGTCCGTCTGTCACGGAGATGAACATCAGGTACAGAAAATGATTTTTGACACATTGCACCAACTAAATGTGGAATCACATTACATCGTGTTTGAGTTAACCAAAAACAGGTTTCAGTGCAGCTAACTGTGATCTGATCACAGAACTGAAGTAATTTCACATAATCTGGTGTTGCTGCTCAAACGTTCCTGTTCTTCACCTCTCAGGCTGCAGGATCCAGTCCAGGTGTCTGTTGCGTTTTCCGGAGGGAGAGAAAAAACTGCAAATGTTTCCTCTAAAACACTCTGGTTCGTATGGAGATACTTTCACCCTTCCAGATTTAATATCAGAACAATATTCATTTATTATCATTTAAGTATTGACTATTTAACCTTATAGGCTGTTTCACCCATTCAGCAAAAAATTGTCTTGATGTGTTGGACTTTGAGTTGGAAGTGACTGTCTATTGACAATAAAAACTTGAAGAACCTGCTTCCTGTTTCAGCCTCAGCCGCTGCAATCTTCATCCCATCGACCTGGAAGGAGTTTGGAGAAGTTTGGGAGCGTCCGCTGACCTCTCTGATTTGGAGTAAGACTCAAAATGGTCACATAGAAAGAGAAACCAACAAGGTTCCACTCAGCACACCATAGATAACTACTGCATCCTGTTCATTATTTTCAGCTTGTCCTGTAACAAGTTAGGCGACAAAGGACTGAAGAAGTTGATGGACTTCCTGCCTCGTCTGAACAAAATCCAACGAGTGGAGTAAGTTTATCAGCTAATCTGAGGTCTGCTGGGTAGCTTCATGGTAAACTGGATATAAATACTAGGAATTTGTCATATGAAGGAAGTTTAATCTTTGCTTCAGATTGACCTGCTGTGCTTCCTTGAAAAGGTTAGGATAGATTTATAAATTATATAAAACAAGTTTGTTTCATTTTTTTGCACAAAATCTTAAAAATTCTTAGATAAGATTTTAGTCTGATCAGTTGTAGCTATTTTGAGCTCCTTTCAGGATGAACAGTTTTAGCGCTCTGTCACTTTAAATCCAACAAGCTGCTGAAAATGACTGCAAATAGATTTGCAATTATGCAACTGACTTTGCATAATCTTTGAAAAGCAGAAGTGGAGCCTCCAGCACAGCCAGCAGTAAAACCACCGGACCAAATCAATGTGCTGGAGTTTTGCATCGGTTGCTAGGTAACAGCTCTGTGCCTACATTCGGAAAGTTTTTGAAATGGTTTTTTTTCCAGACACCAAAAATAATTAACTTGTTGCCAAAAAACAGCTGGAAGTTTTTTAAGTGCTTAAATTCTTTTTAAAAGCAATAAAACCCAAATGGAAGAACAAAAATGTGTATTTTTTATCACAAGTTCCATTTAATCTTCATTTTTTGTGACTTTGCTGCATCAGCGATGGGAAGGAACCGCAGGGCTGATGTCCAACCGAACCGGTTCTGAACTGGTTTATGTTGTGACCTCTGTGGTTTCATGACTCATCATATTTCCTGTGCTTGTGTGTTTTTCAGTTTCAGTGGTAATGATGTCGGTGTGGACGGAGCGGTGATGCTGGCGGATGGATTATGCTCCAACAACAGATTAACGCACGTTTTTATCAGGTAATTTTTGTCTCAGCCATTAATTTATTTTTTATCTGAAGCACCAAAGGTTAATGTTTTTTGACGTTATTGTCTAATGACAACAACCTGGCATTAAAAAATGCCAAAAAGCAGCTGCATAGTTTTATTTAAAGCATTTTGTCTGTTTTTAGAAGCAGTAAAGCCTCAAATGAAAGTACAAAAACATGAAGTTTACAAAATGGGTTTCCATTTTATTTTATTAACCATTTTCAATAACTGTTGTTTGGTATGTTTTATAACATAAAATCGCTGCATCATTTGTTTTTCTGCTCTTGCAGTGATGGAGGAAAAGACCAGGTGATGCTGCAGTTCAGCTCTGACACAAGGTAGAAAAAATGTTCCAGTAAAACTTTAACATTTATCATAAAAGTTTACAGTTTAAAGTGAATATGTTATACTTACTTTTCTCTCATTACAGTAACGGCAAACTACAGACAAAGTCATTCAGGTACAGTCAGCTGAAGCACATTTTGCAACCATTTAAAAGAACAAATTACTGAAGTTTGTTTTTGTGTTTTTCAGAATCAACAGAAGATCCCTGACAGCATCTGATGTCAACAAAGTGTGCAGGAAACTGGTCCAGTGTCGCAGCAGTTTGGAGTTAGAGTGAGCTTAATGATTGCATATACATGGGCATTTTATTCATAACATGAGTGTGCAGGTGCATATTGATGACCTTCTGTGTTTTAGGTTCACTCAATGCTCATTTGCTGAGAAATCTGTTGGAAATCTGCTGAGAGTTTTGCCAAAGATGTCGACACTGCAGAGACTGAAGTGAGACTTCCGAATCCACACAGAAACCAAAAATGTTTTTCTTTTCATTGAATGTTTCACAAAAAGTTTAAACTTCTATTTATTAACAGTTAATAGAGTCAACAGTTAATTTAGCCAAATCACAAAAGCAACTCGAAAGTCCCAGAATTTATTCGATGTTCTGAAAATGTTTGTCAAAGTTTCATAAAGTAAAGATCTGAAATGTATCATGTCACAATCAAGCTCATATCGAAACCCAGACCCCAAAAAATACCGTTTGTGTTGAAAAATAACTTGTTTTCCAGGAAAGAGAACCTCCGAATTCTGGAAAACAACTTGCAATGTTCCAGAGAAACAGTCATATATTTCAGAAAGTTGCAGAAAATCACTAATAATTTTGAAAAAAGTCTTTAAAGTAACCATAAAATTAACATTTTAAGAAAGTATCAGATTACAATCCTTCTGGTTGCTAAAATTTTCTTCCAAGTCCCAGGAAAGTAAGTTCTGTGAAAATATCATGATGTTTTTCTGACCTTTGACCTGCTCAAACGTGTGTTAATATCTCATATTTATCAATGTATCTTCAGCTGTTAGGTAGCTTTGTGGCTAAATAATTGTTCTTCCTTTGTTCTTAGTGTTAGTAACAGCATCCTGTCCACTTTTGATGCCCTAACTCTGATCAGCTGTTTCCCTGAAAACCATCGAGTCTCATCCGTGGAGCTCAGGTATTGCTTCAACAGGTCTCCAAGCAGACGATGCATGAAAGTGTTTTTAGATTTTTATGCATAATATTGAAGGACTTTGCAAAAATGTTGACATTGATGCTGTTTAGTTAATTATTGCTTGTGACTCTTTAGCCCACAGGGCGAATCCTTCATTCATTTTGCTGAAGTTAAAGCAGAACAAGTCCACTGCAGGTGTGTTGACCATAAACCTCTCTAAATGATGAGCTCATTATTACTGCTGTTTTGTGTGAAACTTTCCTGCACTCACTTGCTTCAAACAGGAAATTGTAACCAGTGCATTTTAAAAGTCCTGCACTCATCGCTGCACCTTCCTGTCATTTAAACATGTTTGGTATCCATGAAAACACCAAACGCTAGAAACTGATAAAAAGTTTGTGTGAGTTGAGCAGGAAGCATTGCAGGGCTCCAGGACAGACGGCAGTGACCAGGCAGGAAACAGAAAGACAGAGTATGGAACTCCGGTAGTGCCAAAAAAGTATATATTTTAGTGACTCTATTTTATCTTTCATACCCATCTAGTCTACTGTTTTATACTTTCCTGCCGTGTTCACATATTTTTATTAGATAAAAAAAAAATAAAAATAATTGTGGGTATTTTAAAAAGTAAAAACAGAAGAAGCAATTTTAGACATGTAAAAGTAAGTTTAGTAAGTAAAAACACATCTTCAGTTTTGTAAATGATTCCAGTCTGGGCCAAGAGAAAACGCTTATGTTTTACTTAGACGCCTGTAAATGTACTTTTTTTTTTTTTTTAACTCAGCCACATCGATCTTTGCACACATGATGTGGACCAAAAGCTTGCAGCCTCATTTATAACATTTCTATGAGGTTTATATTCTGCATATTGCAAAACATTCTGGTAAAGGACAAAAAAAGAGAAAAATCTAAATTATTTCATGTTCCAGTCTATTTTTCTCAATCTATAGCAGCTGCTGTGATAGTTACACTGCAGATCAAGACTCCTTTGTGAGATATCAAGATTACTGAAATAAAACTTGTAATTGCTGTATTTTATTTAAAATTATTTTTGATTTATTTTTTTTAACATAGTTCAGAAAACCCTGCGGGGCTTATGAGGTGTAATGTATTATTTGGATGACAGATAAAAACTGATCAATCTGTTTCTATTTTCAGATTAACAGATTTTTCTTTCAAAGAAGAAAACTTTGTTTTATTGGACAGACTGAACCAGATCCTGCAGCAGAACCGGCAGCTCTTTTATCTCGAGTACGAACCACAACTCCTCTCAAAACCACAACCACCAAACTGCAATGTCATTTTGACCTTTCTTACTCATTTAAATAAACTGACTTAATGCTTTTTCTGCTGCAGTTTGTCAGGAAACCAGCTGGAAGACGAAGGAGTGAGACGTTTATTGGAGTCTCTTCCAAATATCAGCGTCAGCAGCTTCATCAAGTAGGAAACATTCGTCTTTCTGTTGCAGCTTCAAGCTGTTGTGTTCAATTCTCCGAACTTTAATCTTCATTTTCAGTCTGAGTAAGAACGGGCTGAGCCAGCAGGGGGCGCTGCATGTAGCCGCAACACTTTGCACCTGCGCTAATGTTTCTGCTGTGGAAGTCAGGTAAAAACTGATCTGCCAAAGAATCACAGCAGAAAATAACATTTCCTGCCTCTTGTCCCGTAACGTTGATCTGTTTCCTGCTAGTTTGGGAGAAGATGAAAGGTGTCTGATCTGGTTTACTCAAAAAGGAGGAGGAGAAAAAACTCTGAGGTGAGAAAAGAGACAAAACAAGGAAAACTTTAAATTCATCATCCAGTTATTATTGCAACAGAGAACAGATTGGAAACGGTTAAACAGCAGCAGATGCAAACATAGCAGACAGAATCAAATTGTATTAGTTGAGAAAAATACTCATTAGTTTATTAGCGTTTAGATGTTAAATATTGTTCCTTTGCTCTTTTTTCTGTCTTCCAGTGTCAAAGACAGTAATTTGGACTGTGATAATCTGCTCAGATTAGCAAATATTGTCTCAGACTGTCTGAGTTTGACCAAAGTGGAGTAAGTAAGATTCAATCTTAACCATTTTGAAGCTCTAGTAATAAATGTGAAGTGTTTTTTGTGCTGAGTAAATCGATTTAGTTGATTAATGAATTGTTGTGTTTTTATTGTTGCGCAGATTAAAGAACAACATGCTGCAACCTGAGTGGATCGAAAACTTTGTGTCAGCTTTAGACGTTAATCTGAGAGGCTGTACCATCAGGTGAGATTATTTATTTATTGCACCAACATCAACCAATTTATAAAATACTTTTTTCCTCAGTTTGGTTGAGGCATTAAACAAATAATGGTTTCATGAAACCACTGACCTGCTGCTCCTTTTCTCTGTCCTTCATCAGTGTTGAAGAAAGTTGGATCGGCGGCGATGATGCTGCGTTTTTACTGCGCCGCTGTCTGCAGCTCCACAAACCCGTCCGAACCATCAGGTGAACAGAGCCTCCAGACAAACCCTGAACTCACCGCGGGACGTTCAGGGACGAAGTCATAAATGTGATTTTGTTTTTTAGGATGGGCGACGCGACACTGCAGCTGGTTCTGACGGACAACATGGAAAGGTGCTGACTCAGGAGAAAACCCTTGCTAAGCTACTAGTTCAACTGGCAGATTATCTTATAACAAAACATAATTAGAAATTCTTACTTTTTGATCAATATTCAGGAAGTATTTACTTACAACAAGCTCATATGTTTCACTTCTAACTTATTTCAAGAGAAAAGTAGATCAAAGACTTGGAACGATTTTATATCTTCAGGCATCATTTTCTGAAATTTTAACACAATAAATCTCAGTTTAAGTCACATAAATACCAACATCCATTTATTTTTCTTTTGTTGTGCTGATTGATTCTTCTGATCAAGTTTTATTTATCATGAGAAATTAAGTTGTCCTTTTTTTCCACCAGTGATGTTGAATTTTCAGCTCAGTCAGCGATTAAAAATATAAGGTAAGTGACAGAAATGCAAATTATTCCTGCAATTAATGTGCAACCAAGAAAAGAACCATCATATATCACACATTTAACTCCATTTCATTCTTCATGTAATTAAAATCAGTTAAAGCTACAATATTCACCCTGCAGCTGGAGATGAAAACACTGTAAACAAACTAACATTAATGGCAGTTAATGCTGGTAGTTTTTTTTACAGTATAGTTCTGACCCCTAACATTTTGATTCAAGCATCTTTTCAGAACTTTTTTGCCATAGAGCATTAAAATCTTCATCCTCTCTTTAGTTTTTACCTAAAAATATATTTGTTCTCTTTTTTAGCGTCTCCAGCAGCAGCGTGGAAGGAGCTGAATTACTCTGCTCTCTTCTGCCCCCGTTGCCAAATCTCACGTCTCTCAGGTGAACATCTTCACCTTTTTCTTTAACATCAGGGGTTTTGATTTTCCTGTGACGATCACTTCCTGTTTCCCTCTGCAGTGTTGGAGTCAAACACAGCTTTGTGCCTGAGGAGCTCTTACACGTCATCCTGAGCTCCACGTCCATTCAGAGTTTAACGTGAGCAACAAAAGTTTCATTTCTTTATTAAATATTTCCTCATTGCATCCAGTTATGTAAGGATAAAGATACAGCTTCCTTTTAGTTTTTTATCTTTCCTGCATTAAAAAAGGATGAAAATGTAGATAAATGCAACTGTGGGAAACCAGCAACACGACATATTTTCATCAGGTCACATTATTTAAAAAAAGAGAAAATAAATGAAGCAACACAGTGGAAATGAATCGTATGACATCTTTGAAAAACTGTTTTCTTATTTCTCGCTGTTTTTTTAGCCTCACATCTTGTCTTCTTTTCATTGTTGTTTTAGTTTATTGACATTGCACTTTGCAGGCTTTTATTTGCCTAAATGTCTCAAGCAGCCTCTACAAACATGGTCAGTTTGGTTCCTTCTGTAAATCTTATGGGTTGGTCTTTGAAGCAGTTGCGACTCAAATGGAAGAATAAATGCACAAAAAATAAAAATTTTGCAGAAGACATCCCGTTTAACACATTAAACTCTAAAACGTTCCCTTTAATTCTGACTGTACATTTTATTTTAACCTCATTTTCTCTCTCCTCCAGCTTGTGTGGCGTCATCATAAGTGATGCGGCGGCTCAGACTTTGACCAGACTGTTGCCACGCCTTCGATCGTTCACGTAAGCTCATCAGTTAATATGAAGAGTTCAAAATAGTCTGTTCTTCCATGCAGTTTATCGGCGTATTAACGACGCAGCATCGTTGTTGTTTTCCTTCTCCTCTGCAGTTTGTCGCATTGCGTTTGGTCAGCAGCTGGACGGCTGCTGCTTATCGAAACTTTGAGGGAGAGCAACGCTTTGGAAGAACTTTGGTAAAACCTCAGTTTATCAGATGTTCTTGACTCCATTTAAAAGTCAAATGTTTGTATTTGTGAGTGTTTTTGACTCATTGTTTTGTAGTCTGGATGCGGCGATGCAGCTGAATGAAGACTGCAGCAGAGGTTTGGCACAAACTCTGAGGAACATGAAATCTTTACAGATTCTCAAGTGAGTCAGTTTCTTCTATCTGAGTCGTTTTATCTGACCAGAACCAGCATAGAAAGTTTTGACTTGATAAAATGTGAAAGCTCTATACCGTGAAAATAACAACATAAAATGCACCAAATCACAGAATAGTTTTCCTGATCAGAAACATTTTATGTGACTCTGTAATAAATGCTTTTATATCTTTATTCAATATCTTTGATCTATCAGTTATAAAACTGATCACATCCTGCAAAGTTTGGTCTTGTTCACAAACCTTTCAGACATTTTTGTTGGATCTTGTATTTGGTCAAGTGTGTGATGTCACACTAAGCATCTGACATGTGTCCCACGTTCCAAACAGATGCAAGATCTGTGCATCGAATATAAAGTGGCACGATAAAACTAAATCACAGTCATCATCAAAATATGTGTGCATTATTCTAATCACATTTAATAGAATGTTATATTTTAAGAGTCAAGCATTGAAGCTGATGCTAAAACTCACTGTGAATGAAGAGAAAACTGGAAAAGAAAAAGAGTTGAGAAAGAAGAGATAATAATTTAAATTATGATATTGCTAATCAATGTTTGGCTGAAATTATGTAGCCCTAATGTAGCACATAAAAGCATGTAAAAATATAAAAAAATATTGTTTCAGCTTTTTGATTTTATATAAGAAGACAAACAAATTACATTCACATCACCTGCCTGAAACTGTAATTTGAAAGGCTGTGATGATGAAAAGTAATTTCAGGTGAAATAAATAAATGTGTCTGTTTGTAAAAGGCTGGATGAAATCGTAAAAAGTTCAGGACATCCAGAAGCCGACGTTGTTCTGGACCTGCTGGCCGGGATGGAAGAACTCAAACGAATTCAGGAGATCCAGTGAGTTTGTTTCCCTCACAGAAACTGGTTTTGATTAATTAAAAGTCTGTCTTCCAGGAAAAAAGCTGAATTCATCTTTATTTTCAGTTTGGGAGGCTGGAGGCTGGGGGATGGGGGGATACAGAAGCTAACGGGAATCCTTCCTGGTTGGAAGGATCTCAGGGCGATCAGGTAATGAAACGACCGTCCATCTACACACACTCATCCATGCAGCTTCGCTCCTCTCAACAATATGCACCAGTTTTAGCTAACGCTGGGAACTTTTAATGTAAAGTTCATTCATTAAAAGAAACGAGGCTCTTCTCTCAGATTCTGACTCTGGATGCCAGTTTCAGAAAAAGATCTCAAATTTTCTCATATTCCTGACAAAAAGTCAAGTGTGCAAAATCGTCTTAAAGGGAGATTTTTCCAAAACCATAGCGCCATTTTGTGACTTAACCAAGTAACTATCTTACCTTCAGTTGTTATTAAAATGCTTCATATTTCAAAAACAACTTAAAAGAAATTTGACTTTGTATCTGTCACCTTGAAATAGGTCTGTGTCTCTTTTAGAACCTCCTGCACTGCAAAAACAAAATCCTACAAAGTATTTTTGGTCGACTTTGTTGTGCAAATATTGTAGTAAACCTGAAATTAAATATGACTTTTATGTAATATAAAATGAATATAAACACCTTCTATTCCTTAATATAAGATATAAAAGAATTAGTTATACATGAAATAATCTAGTGGGACTAGAACTTTTTCATCAATATTATGAAATAATATTGATTTCATAATATTGCTTTTGTTTCTTGGTGAAAAGTTATTTTTAAGTTAGATTTGTCTGTATTCACTAGAAACTGAATTACTAGGTAAGATTTTCTTGCCCACTGCAGTGACCCTCACCTATTCACGGTTCAATATTCACCGATTGTTTTGTGGAGCAAAACTCCAATTTATTCATGGAAAAATTTCACATTTTCATTTTGAAGTCATCAGATCTGGTTCGCTTTTTCCAGATGTCAGCTGGTGGAGTCAGAAAAGTGAATCCTGTCTCATTTGCTCTGTAAATGTTGAAACCAGATAAAATGATTTAATATTGTTTTTACCCATTTTTTTCTCCTCCAGTCTCTCCAAGAATCTTGTGAGTGATCCTTCAGGAGAGAAGCTGCTGGAGGCTTTGAGTGGCTGCAGGGATCTGGAGGAGCTCCAGTAAGAAAATAACCTCAATCTTATCATATCTGCTTCTTGTTTAGAAGTGATTTCTCTGACACTTAACTAAGTATTAGTCTGGATTGGTGAACTTCTACATGAGTGCAACTAATGATTGTCTTAGTTATCGATTAATCTCCTAATCAGATTAAATAAAATGGCACATTCAGCTGATATTTATTAAATCTTTTTTTATGCAATATTAGAAATGTTAAGCAATGCAACTAAATCATTTTTGTGAGAAAATAAACGTGTTTTTGCCTAAAATGCAGTAACACACTGTTCTTTTTATGAACGCTTGATCATTTGTAGCAAAGGATGAATCTGTAAAAATAAATACCTCTAACGTTAACATGAAAATGTGAAAATCATTGAACCAGCTGAAGGTAAAACTGGATTTCACTGCATCACACATATTTATGGACAACAGAGTTTGTCTAAATCTTGAAGGCAAAATGTGGATATTTTTTATAGTTTTGGCTTAATTACTGCTCTGACTGTTGTTCTTTCGAGGAATCCAGATAGCGATTAATCAATTGCTAAATTAGTTGATTGTTTGAACAATCAGTTGGTCACAATTAAGCTGATCAATAATAGAAAGTGAGGGTGACACCATCTACTTGTCTTTCTCTTCCAGTCTGTCCAGTAACCATATTGGTGACCTCACTGCTGCCAGAATGGCTCTTGTTCTTCCATCAATGTCGCGCCTCTCTGTATTAGAGTAAGATTTGTTTTGCTACATATTTACATAAATTCCTTCCTTCCAATCCTATCGGTTTAATCTGCTTCTTATTTAGTATTTCAGAAAACCGTGTCGGAAACGAGGGCTTGTTCAGTCTTTCCAGAGCAATAATGAGCCTGAAGAACCTCAGAAAGATCCAGTAAGTCCTGGAAGTTCAGGAATCTGATTCCGGCTGTATTGAAGGAGGCATTGATCGATTCTTTGTTTTTTCTTTTTCTAACGCAGCCTGACCTCTGTGGGGAATTCAGAGCTGAGCGCTGTGGCTGCCAGTTTGAGCCACTGTCCCCTGTTACAGGATGTGGGGTAAAAGAAGAAACTATTTACCCCAATGAACTAACAGGAAACTGTTTAACTCAGCAGAAATATTTACAGTAAAAATGTTTGGATTTGATCTGAAGTTCCTCACTGGGATCCAAAGAGCTAAGCTGTAGTGAAACTGATTCATTCTTCTTTACGTTACAAAGCTGATTTATCTGTGTGACTGACAATAACCTGACACACAGATCATTTCCTGCTTTTTTTCAGCCTGGGGTGGAATAACTGCGGCGACGCTGTGGCGCTGGAGCTGGCTAACGTTCTGCCTGTTCTCCACGATCTGACTCGCATCGAGTGAGTTCAATTTAATACACACACAAATATGGAAACAGTAGATACACATCATGTCTAAAGTAAATGTGCAATATGCAATATTTTGTGTCTAATGCAAGTGTCTCAGTACACTTAAAATGAGACAAAACTAACTTGCAACTAAGTTGTCAGAAAGATAAGAAGCTTGTTTTAGGTCAGTAATTGCTTAACATTGATAAATAAAAGTTCTTTATAAGGGCAGATCTATTCAGTCTAATTCTGTTCTTCATTCATTTATTTTACATTTAGAATTCCTAATTTCACTTTCTGAACATTTTGAAAGATTTGCTGCAAAAACTTGTTTTTGTTAGTTTCAGTTTATTATTTATTTTACATTGTTTTTTTTACTCCTAACTGCACTGAACAAACCATGTGAAGCTACTGCTGTATTTAAGAGAGCTGTATTGGAGCAGAGTTGTTAAATAAATTTGTAAATTAAGACATTTTTGTTTGTGTTTAAGAAATAAACATTTAAAGTCAATTCAGGTGTTTTTCTGTATGGGATCAGTTTCAGTCGATATTAAACCTCAGATATTAGAAGTGAAAAATGTGAATTGCTGCATCCCTAATTCAAGTTAGAAACTGGACCTAAAATAGTTTATGTTTTTGCTTAGTGTTTGGTTGTGTTCAGAAAAACTGTTGGTGTTTTGAAGACTTTCTGTTTGCGTTTCCTGCAGCCTGGAGTGTAACAGTGTGAGCGCTGCCGGCGTGGAGGCTCTGGTCAGAGCTCTAAGGTGCTGCCCTGCTCTGCAGGTCATCAGGTAAACGTTCCCACGACAAATCTTTACCTCACCTGGAAGCATTTCCTCTTCGTGTGAGAATGTCTGCACATTCATTTCAACATATTTTCTTTCCTCCAGGTTGTGGAAAAATAAAGTCTCCTTGCGTGAATCTGAGCGGTTCAGCCAGATGGAGAGGAGGCTCAACTTTTCCTCCACCTAATGGGATTAGCAAACAAGTATATTTATTTGCAATATCATGTTTTTCAGATGTTTTATTGGGAAATGTACATTATTTAAAATGAAACATCTGCGTTTTTCAGCTTAGTTTCACAAGATAAAACTACAAGTGGGTCCAAACTAAACAAAAATGACATAAAATCCGACTTTTTATTGAAATATAGTTTAGGAAATGGATGATATGAAGTGTCTTCCTGTCTCAGTCAGGGTTGGGTAAAACTCTAATGAGCTCATTATTTTTGTTCCTCGCTGCAAGTTTCTGCCGTGAAACTAAAGGCCACCTTTTATACGTTGTATTTCTGCAGACTGATTTAATGAGCCACTTTGCACTGATACAGAGGCCACATATGTGAAAAAACACAATAAGCCAAGAATCTGCAGTAAACAGGAGGTCGTTCCTCTTGTCATTATCAAAGGTTGTGGTCTCTGTCGGAATACGTATTTATTTTTGCTCTTTGATGGAAAGAAAAGTGTTTTTTTTTATTGTTTATGTTTGAAGGAATTTTAATCAGCTTCAAACATAAGCAGAGACAGAAAGTCTTTTACTTTCCATTCAGAAACTTGTTGATAAAAAGACACAGAATAAATGCACCTTATTGTGAAAACTGAAATGCTTTTTAGGATTTCTATTCAGGTTGACATTTAAGTTCTCACACATTTTCCTCTTTGCTTGAAATTCTCAGTGAAAACACTGTTTATTCATTCTCCTCTTTGTTTAACTTAAAAATTGTGTGCTGGTTTAATTTCATTTTATACCGTTCCTTTCATCTTTAAAGACTAAAGATAATATCTTAGTGCAGCTCAACAATTTTTAAAATGTCTTCCTTGTGCTTCTTCTTTACTTTTATTTGTTGTTTACATGAGAACTGATACGCAAGCTGTAGAAAATGTCTCTTTCCTTGCCAGCATCTTCATTTTAACTTCATGGATATAAAGATTTTCTTATGTATTGTTTTTGTAAACATGACAGAAAAGAACTGCTGTAGCTCAAGAAAAACTTCAAGGGCAAATAGCTCCCTCATGTGGTAACTAAAGGTACTACAGAGTTCTCTTTGTATTGCATTCCTTCACAATGTTGCGATTGATCGCAATAATAATGTATTTTGTTTTCAGTTTATGTGCCAGTTTGAATACTGAAAGTCTTCCTGCTAAAATAAAAGGTTTCAATAAGGCCTTCATTTGTATGTTTATGAGAAATCTGAAGTTTAACATTCTTTTGATTAGGATCCAAAAGCACCAATAATGCTGTAAGCATTTTTTTAAACGTGCAGCTGTTCCGTCTTCTGCTATTACTTGTCCACCTAAATATATTACACAGGCAAACATGAATATTCTGTAAAACAGTCTCCTTTCCAATCAGTTTTCTGCACCAAAGACTTGCATATATGAGGTTTTCTTTCTTGTCTCAATTTGTCAAAGCCTTGAAAATAGTTTTTTCTCAAAATAAAGATTTCATATTGTGTTTTAAAAAATTTATTTTCAGTGTCAAAATTCATGATTTCAAATAATTGCTGTTCAGGTTCAGAGGCCTAAAATAAAAGCCTGAAATTGTCCTTTCATTGGGAATTGAATCAAAAGCTATAAATGAGATATTCGTATTAAAGTGCCCCTGCTTCTGCTGAGTTTTGCAGTAAAAACCACCTAACCTGAGCCCAAATCAAGATCAGATTGCATCGAGACCAAGAGCTTTAGGGGCTGAAATCACATCGAGACCTAAAATTAGATGATGCAGAACTGTGAACCTCCAAGGGAGCAAACCGCTGACAAGAAGCAGAAACTACTAGTGCTGTAAAACATGGAGTAACTTTATACTGTTCACAGCAGCGACATGCAGTGAGGCACTGACTTAATCAGACATACAAATGTGGTTCACCTGCATGTTATTGTTTACATAAGGAAGCTTCGCGCATGCGGACAATTCTTCTGCATGCATCCATAGCCTCGCTGCCGTGATATAATTCGTGCGGTTTGAAGATGGATTCCTTTTGGATGACTAGCTGAGTGGTAGGAATCACAGTGTTGGTGGAATAACTTTCCCTTTTCAAGGCAGCTGCCTCGTCACATTCTTGTGCTGGCATTGAAACATTTTGGGTTTCAATATCCTCAACGAAACATCTTACATCAGAGACACTGGATTAAAGCGGGGAGAAATGTCCATTAACGGGTAGGCCCAACGACAATATCCAAACACACAATTTAACTCAAGTTCCTAATAATTAAACAACATAAAATGTTCAAGGAGAGTGTTTAACTGGAATTCAGAATTTGCCCCACTCTTCAAAAAAGACAACTCAAGCACAGTGTGCATGTCTTGCCAAATTTAAGGAGTCTTGAGTTGGAATATATCAAAGTTCAGCAGTACTTAATGAAATAGCTTGATCAGATATTCAATATAAATAAGAAACTACATGCTAAACTTAAAAAGCAGAAAGCTCTGGTGAGGAAAGTACTCAGAGAGAAGACAAAGCAAGAATTCAATGGTTTCTGTTCATAGAAATGAAACTGACTGGTAAACTGCAGCAGGCGACTGAAGAAAAAGTGGTCTCTAAAACCCAATGAAATAGGGATCAACAAGATGAGAAAAAGCCATCGAAGAAATTTAAACGTAAGATCAAGAGAAAGGCAGCAATGAGAGCTGCCTCTGAATTGGAAAACCTCAACGATAAAGTTTCTGGAAAAAACAGTGAACAAGAAGAAGTTTCTGTACCAGAAATAGTTGGGTATCAGACAGTTACCATCAAAAATGACATTCATATGGTTAAAACAGTGATCGCTAAAATACAGCAGGTCACTGAAGAAGAAACTGCCTCTGAAACCCAACTAAACAGTTGGGGATCAGACATCATAGATGACATTCATATGGTTGAAACAATGATCTCTAGCCCCCAGCAAATCTCTGAAGAGGTAATGATCTCCAAAACGCAACAAAATGGGGCTCACGAAGTGAAGAAAAGATCATCAAAGAAACGTAAACGTAAGATCAAGAGAAAGGCAGCAATAAAAGCTGAACTGAAAATCGTTATAAACCCAATAGAGACTGATAAAAACGTGATCCAAAACACTAAGGGACCAAAATTTGATTTCGAAATAATACCAGCAATCCAACAGACAGCTTTTGAAGAAACAGAGACAAAACCTTGCAAGGGCGCAAAGAATGATATCTCTGAATGATATCTCTGAACAAGAAGAGAGCCCCATGAAAAAGATTTCACTGTGGAGGCGTTTCAAAAAGGCTTTGACTCCATTTGTCTGCGCCAGTTCAAAGACAGATGCAAAGACCATCCAGCGTAGACATCAATTTATGTCTCCAGTATATTAGAGACATAAAGCGGGTGAGGCCAAGAGTAAGTTGGCCCCACCCACAATTACTGCCAATTTTTCCAGTTGGCAGTAATTGGAAAAAGAGCTACTGTTGTTGTTAATTGGACATTTGAATATTAAAAAGCCAGGACTGCACGGTGGGAAATGTCTCCCCGTGTAGGTGTGGGTTCACTCTGGGTGCTCAGGTTTCCCCCACGTTCAACAACATCAGTGCTCATGTTCATCCATTCTGAGATTTTTATTTCTAATTCTAAACAGAAAATAATACAACCACAGTTATTAATTAAGGGGAGATGTGGAAAAGAAAATGTAAACAACGTGGAACTAAACGAGCCTTTTAGAACTCTAAACCTGTACGAATTGGCAAAAATTTTGAAAACTGTCTTTCTGGGCAAGATATAAATATCTAAATTTATATATATAGAGCGATTGATATCTATCTATATATAAATCTATCTTTCTATCTCTATTTCCATCTGTATTGCTATAAATATATTTACATTTCTATACAGATATCTATATATCTATACATATCACTATCAATCTATGTACTGGCATAGTTAGCTACCCGCACTGGTATAGATAGCTACCCACACTGGTATAGTTAGCTACCCGCACTGGTATAGATAGCTACCCACACTGGTATAGTTAGCTACGCGCACTGGTATAGATAGCTACCCACACTGGTATAGTTAGCTACGCGCACTGGTATAGATAGCTACCCGCACTGGTATAGATAGCTACCCACACTGGTATAGTTAGCTACGCGCACTGGTATAGATAGCTACCCGCACTAGCATAGTTAGTGCGGGTAGCTAACTAGCATAGTTAGCTCCTTCATTGACTCAGCTGCTTCGGACGCAGCTGTGGGTTTTCTTCCGTTGGCTTTCTGTCCTCGCAATGAAATGAGCACACAAAGCAGTTTGGGTTCCCTTTTCAAATTTAGAATTTGTAGCTAAATGATTTTTTTGCCTAACTTTTTTAAATGAAAACTACCACTTTTGTTTTGGGAGCCCGTTCAAAACTCACTCGCTGCAGCCACAAACTAAACGCGGTCTGATTATTAGAGAACTAACACGAACGTTAACAACAGTTACCCGAGCTCCACAGGGGCATCTGAGGACACTTTCCAGGGGCACGTTTCTCTCCATAACCGGTTAATGCGTAATTCGGTTCGTTGTTGACCAACGTCTAGAGCAGTGACGTCACGTCCCAAAGCCCTATAGAAATGATTCACCCCTTATATGTTTTACTCTTTACTTTTACAAATCAAGCATGATCAACAAAATGTAGCTTTGACTAAAAGAAAGAAACAACGTGAAAATGGATGGGATCTTGAATCAGGCGGTACAATCACTGGAGACTCCTTGTACCACATGATGCAGGCTCCGCCCCAAAGCGGAAGTGGAGCAAAACCCCAACGAACAATAATTGAATAAACGTGTCAGACGCATTTTTGCACGTACAAAACGGGTGAGTAATAACTTAAAGAATAAAATTCACACCAAAAATCTGCCTTCAAGAAAATGCTTAAAAATAAACATTAGCAGAAAAAGGTGAGTAAATGTAAATACCGCAGTTACTGCTGCACATGTTTTCAGCTACTATTGGAATTTGAATTAAAAAATAAAGCATTACTACCCTCAGTTATTGGTCTTTGATTTGACTATCAATAAGTGTTGTTATAACAAAAGAATAGATATTTGCTACCAGTTCCCTTCCTCCAAATCTCTGTAACCGTTGCACGTTAGCAATGAGGTTCTGTTCTTCCAGAAAAGTGGAGTGCACTTCTGGACAAAGGTCAGTTGATTGGACCTCTGTTGATTTAGGTTTGTCACTTTAAAGGGGATGATATATATATTTGTATTTAATTGCCAATCTTTTGTAGAAATCAATTTTCCCCTTGATATAAAAGTGTTTTTTGTTGTTGTAATTTTTCTGGTAAGAAAAGCTAAATTTTGTTGATCACTATTGATTTATAAAAATAATATAAAGGGTCCAAAAGGGTGAATACGTTTTATAGGAACTACATATATGTGCTACAGCACATACAAAAAGCAATACGAAACTTGCTTTGAGGTGCGAATGACATAATATTTTACTGACTCCAGCGTGCTTCCTGGCTCTGACCTTTTATTTTGAAAGAGAAACAAGTGTATATCCGGTCTGACCTTATTGCCGCCAACTTGAAAGTTCTCCGTCCGTCGCTGCCAGAAACAGTCAGCGGCGCTCCGAGGATGATT